TAAATCATTTACAAAAAGTGCAAGTAACTAGATTATGTGAAACAAATCATATTGAATAATAGCATTCTTTTCTTTAATTGAAGTTTACAGCGGGAAAATTTTTCGAAAAGTTTTGCCGTTGGGGGAAAATTTTTATTTCACCGGCAGATTCTGCACCCCTGACATACAAAACTTATAGGAGAAATCGATGGACGTTCCATTGCAAGTGTAATACAACTGAGAGTAATAAAGAAAAGAATTAAATAATCAAATGATTTTTGTACAATTAATCGTTGAAATACTTTGCGTAGTCTACCGAAGGAAACGGAATTACAAATTTTTCTATTCGAATTATTCTCAGAACAGAATTTTACCTATTCGAAGGTGAAAAAAGATAAAGTGAATAGTTTTCTCGCTTCTTTAAACATTCAAATATTCGTTGTCCACCAAATCGATTTAAACATGATCAAATAACCTAAAATAAAATAGAATTTACGTAGAAAAGAGAATGACATATATATTCATTATTAATTTTGATTTTGATAAACTTTCTGACTCAGGTCAACCACATCCGCCCGGTACATTCATTATCTCCAAAAATTTTGAACTCGAACTCGATCACAGACAATTTTTGAGGTTGATCTCCAGCACGGATATGAATAGATTCGATGTTTTTTTTTCGATTACTAACATGTCCTACACATTGTTTGATAACACTGACGAATAGTGCCACAAGAGTCAAAATCTTTGCTATGACGTATTAGAGTTAGCTGAGAAAGTGATAATACATGAATCTTTTTCAAATGACTATTTACTTTTCATTTCTGAGTTGTTAATTCCAGTTGTGTATCATCTCCAGCTGATACATCTAATCATTTGTCATTTTGATCGTTTACCGGTAGTTCAATATCACTAGCAAGTTGTATAATATTACTAGCATTCGATTCTGTATGTTTATCATTTTTTTCTTGCCTTTTTTATGTTTGATGAATACGTGTCGATACATTTTGATTAAATGAAATTGATGGATCATCTATTGTTGATCGACGTTTAACAATGGAATTTAAACATCTATTTGTTATATTATTCGATTCTTGTTCAATTAAATTTCCTTTATGAACAATAAAATATCGTGTTGATGACGATGGGAATGCTAGATCAGAATTTGTACGAAGTACAGTATCAGTCAATGTATTTTGTCGTCGATCATTTTTCTTATCATCATTACTGAGTTCAATACTTGTTGATTCATCAAGATTCTCAGGTATTTGAATATTATCTGTCATAATTGCTTATGTCTGAAAATAAACATTTTTTAAACATATTACAATGTTTTCTTCATTTTATTTTTCTTACTTTAAATGAATCTGCTTTATTCAATCGATTCGTATTATTATTACTATTTGTTGCATAATCTTCTTTCTAAATAAAATAAAATAATGATAAAATATGTACAAAAAAACGTTCATTTACTGTTTTTGGAAAACTTTCAACAAGAATAGCAACAAGTAAATTGAATAATATATAATTGCCAAATATCATAAGTACAATAAAATATAATACTGACCATGGGCTTGTCGTTTTCATTCCATTACAAAGTACTTCATTTCAATCTTCTTATGTCAGTATCTATTTTATATTAGACAAATTAGAATTATTCAAAAAGATAAAGGAAATGGTTACTAGGAGGGATATATTTGTGCTAAAAAGAAGCAAACAATAAAGCTGAGAATAGGGAAATAGTTTTATGCGTGCAAGCCTGAACAACAAAATTCTATTGACTAATATTGTATGATACCTGAAATACGGTTAATAATGCAAATCGAAGTGAATCGAAGTTTGTTCTCTCTTGTAAACATATTAAATCTTTGAGATTAGTAGAATTTTTAAATAAATTCCATTCGATACATGCACAACACCGACATTTCATATCAATTTGTTCATGTGATGTTCTATTGAATGCTTCAAGCGTGCAAAATTCACCACCGAATAAATGCATACCAATACCGCTATTCAAATTTAGAAGAGAAATCAAAACAAAGAATGAATAAAATAACGTATGCATGTGTGTGATTACAAAAAAGGGCTATATACCTACGATTGGTTCCAAGAAATTCTTTGCTGTGTTCTACTTAGACATACTTGAGAAAGTTACAACGAAAAATATTCATTCTCGGAGTAATTAAGATGAGAGAGAGAGAGAGAGAGAATAAAAATATTTATTTTTCTGTAGACTTACCTGAAAATGAATACGAAGAGAATTAATAATAATAAAAATGCTGCAACACTATCCAGAGTTTCAAACATGACAACCTAGATAACAAACGACAAAATGCAGAAAGAGGCGTTGAAGTATATACCCAGAAAATTGAACCACCTATTTCCCACATACAAAAACTCTTATCCAATATTTCAGCAGCTCCATTTAATCTCCTAGGGGATATACTCAAACTTTTCACTTTGATTATGAAGATTTTCTGATTAGGTGTTGTCAAATCTGGTAAACGGTCTTATCAAATTAATCATTGAAGACTTCTTCAGCTATTTACTTAGAGTCAAACTCCTAATCAAACACGACGACGACAAAATGTTCGACTATCAAACAATTCTTTCCCATTTTTTTGATTGTGCTTTATTTAATGTAACACTCGGAAGTGCTTACATGATGATATATAGGAGAAGAGAGAGATGACAATTAAGCATTAAGCCGCAGCAAGGAGGCGGAAGGTTACACTTATTCTATATTATTACTTTGTCAAATCTGAATAATCTCATGAGGGTATGGAGAGGTCATTAAGGGGGTAAGAGAGAGAGAGAGAAAAAGCATATAGGAATTTTAACAATTCAACCAGCAAGCGTGCAAATTGTAAGCGATACAATGGAAAAAAGAAAACCAGCATGCCAGTAAGGACTGAAAACGAAGAGAAGAACAAAAGAAAAACAGAGAAAGAGAAAAAACAAAAAAAAAAAAAAAAGGAGAAAAAAGGAAAAAGAACGGAGGAGATTCATAGATTGTAAATGATAGAAAAAAAAAAGGAAGAAAATGGGATTCTGCTTGGTCTATTTCTTCTATACGTACTACTTAGTTTCGATAAATGATATCCATCTTAAAAGGAATGATTCATGCTTCTCGATCAATTGTTTTACACGATTCGTACGAAAAAACTGCCCAAGATGATCATTCTTTCTTTTGTAAAAATCGTCCCAAAGAAAAACATCATTATAAAATGGTGAACGACCAAGATCTGTTATGTGTATATATTTTAATCTTTTCTGAATATATTTTTTTACATAAAAATCAAGTGTGCATTCATTAGTCATGGTGAATAAGTTACGAGCTGAGGTAAATGGACATCGATGCACTAGTCTTAGACCTACACGAAATTTCCGTTGAAATACTTGTTGTTGGGAGTCAGGTAATAATGGGAAGAAGGGAAAAATCCAAGCAAAATAAGGAAATGTATAAGCAAAGAAACATTGTCTAAGTGCCTTTGTGGTCACAGACTGTCTTGCCCTTAACCATTTGAGCTTTCCTAGAGATTTCTGAATGTTTCCTATACATCTATCAACTGTTGGTTTTAATGATAGTTTACTAGTCCATGTAAATCCTAAGTATTTAAATTCATTTACCAATTCAATTCTTTGACCATTCATCTCTATATTTATTTTTGGCTCTTTAACTTGTGTGTAAAATATTTGAGCAACTGTTTTCGTTGTGTTTATAGGTTGTTTCCACATTTGAGAGTATTCATAGATCTGATTACATATTCGTGTACCTTCCTTTTCTAAATACTCTAGCATGGGTGCTAGTTTGCTTGAGATAGGAGGTTTTATAATTACACATAAATCATCGGCAAAAACATGACCTGAATGAGCTCCGATACAATGAACTAGATCACAATGAAACACGATAAATAGGTATGGACTAAGGCTACTACCCTGAGGGAGTCCGATATTAATATCGAAGGTATCTGATGATTCTTCTCCGTAAATTACATACGCCTTTCTATCTTTTAGCCAGGATAGTAACATTTTCAACATGCTGAGAGGCAGCCCTAGTTTCCATAACTTAACTAAAAGAGCTGCATGCCACACCCGGTCATACGCTTTCTGATAATCTACATAAATAGCTAGTGTAGGAATGTTCGCTGTCATATTGTTTTTTACTTCTTGGTATATTGACAATACTCGTGTAGGTAACAGACACTTAGGACGAAAACCTGATTGTTCCACTGGTACTAAATGATTCTTCTCTGCCCATTCTCTAACTCTATTTAGTATCAATTTTTCAAAAAGTTTTGAATGAGTTGCTAGTAAGGAGATAGGTCGTGTATTATCACATTTTGGAGTACCTGCTTTTAATTTATTTAGGGTTATTATTTTTGCTATCTTCCATTCATCTGGGAAGCTACAGTTTGTTAACCACTCGTTAAAACACTTAACTAGACATTCTATATAACCTGGAGGCAGTTTCTTTATCATAAAGTTCGAAACCTGATCCAAACCAGCTGATTTTTTTGGTTTTAGGGATCGTATTAACCGCTTTATCTCTGTTGCATTTGTTTTTTCCATTTGTTCTTTACAATTTAATATTATTCTCACTACACCAGCGTAATCACTATCCACTTCCAATATGTGTGGGTCAGAATAGTCTACTAGAGGTGCTTTGAACTGTTCGTTATAGTACTTATGTAGTTCTTTTATAATTTCGTTCTGTTCTGATACTACTTCATTGCCACTCAGTAGTTTATAAAATGGTAGTGTTCGTGACTTATAAATGCGAGAAAGATATGACCAAAATATTTTGTCTTTATTATCATGTGCCTGTTGGATTGTAACTAAAAAATTTTGCCATTGAGATGCTTTATAATTTCCTATCTCATTCCTTACTTCTCTTGACAAGACTCGTAAGAGTATTCTTGTTTCTTCGCATACATTCCCTCTTTGACGTTGATGATAATATTTATTTCTTATTTTTCTCACTTCTTTTAATTTCTCCACAATGTAATTTGGCAGCGTCGGTCTATATTTTTCTCTCTGTTTCCATTTCGTCACTCTGATCTTAACAGCTGCCAAGTATCGTACATACTGACAATACCATTCTTGAATGGTGTTCCTCTTTTGTTCTTCTACCCAAAATGATTGTAACAATACTAAAATAGCTTCAAATACTCTCCAGTTAGTATACGAGAAGGAGCTACTCACATCGAAAAACATATTATTACATGTTAATACAAGAGGCCAGTGATCACTAGTACCAAAATGTACTGTTTCGCATGAAATAGTTGTCATATTTGAAAAGGTCATATCTATGTTGCGCAGCGAACGTTTTGACGTATGTGATGTAGATGGTATGTAACTAAGATTATTCTCTTCAATCCATTCTTTCAGACACGCTCCTCTGCAATCCGTTGATGGACTGTTCCATTCCTTCACGGCTGCATTAAAATCACCAACTAAAATAGTACCATCCACGAGAAAGGGACGAATGTCATCTAGATTACGCTTTTGGCTGTTAGGCCAGTAAATACCAATGATACGAACGGATTCAGTGAGTCCTATAATATCTATAACTACTGTATTCGGTATGTCTGTCTCAATACGTGATGCTCTTAAATGCTTTCCTACTGCTACACACACTCCTCCACTATGATTAGTACCTTTTTGATAAAAAACGTTGAAATATGGTATTTTATTTATGCTCCATAGCTCACCCACTTCAGTGAAAACACAGATGGATGCTTTTATTTTGTAAACTAATTCTATGGCTTCAAGTGCTCTTGTGCCCCATCCTTCTACATTATAACATAAAAGTTTGATTGTCTCCTTGACACTATTTTGCACCACTATATTATTGCTATTCTCCCATTGGTTTAGAACTGAATTTAAGGATGCATTTGAATACCAATCTTTCAAAATTTCAAAAGCTAGCTTTTGATCGCCTAATGAAAAATTCCATTGCCTTAGATGATGTAAAGCTTGTTGTATTGGATTGACAGAACACATATTTTTAGAGAAAAAAGGCATTGCAAGCGGATTAAGCAAAAATTTAAAACTACTTATGATTGATTTGTAACTGATGAACCACCATTTTTTTTTCTTTCTTTCTTTCTTTCGATGTGTTCGATTTCTCGTGAGTAGGAGGTGGTGATTCAGCACGTTTACGTCTAATCTTGTAATCGTCACATAAGGATAATTTAAGGTAACCAAGTTTAGTAAGAATAGATTGGAGACCTTTTACGGATTGGAGCAGATCCGGTTTAACTTGACTTGTTACGGGCCATAAAACATGTTCGATAAGTGATTGTATATAGTCAATTAATTTATCAAGTGTAGTTTGGTGTAATTCTGCATCAAGAGCTGCTTGATTTACTTTAACGTCGATTTTATCCAATTTTTCTTCCACTCTCATATTACTTTCACGCATTACTACTAGATTTTCATTGATGACTGCAAGTACTTGTGTTACGTTCGATGTTTCGTTGTTTAGTGTTTCTGTTCGTGTATGATTCCATGCAAATTGTTGTTGCTGCTGGGGCCTATTATGTTCGTTCATAGGTGGAAATTCTTGATAATTAACACTAAAAGTTGGTTGTTTAGGATAGGTGATACGCTGTAATTTACCAGATTCTACAGCTTTTGTAACGTCTTCTTTTAGATTAGCACGATACGTTTGAATGATGTGACATTGACTATGAAGCGAATGGTGTTCACCATCACATTGTGCGCATTTTGGTATATTCGTGCACTGATGTTCTTCTTTTTTTGTTATTTCTTCTAGACAAACACGACATCGTTGTATATTTGTTTTGCATTGATCACGTACGTGTCCGATACGCCAGCATTTTGTACAATAAGTCATACGGTTTAATTCTTTCCCATTATTTCTGTCTCGCGTGTTGGCTTGCTCTACCAGCTATATTTCTGATGTATGAAATCGTCAATACAAGCTGTCACAAGTGTCTATTATGGAGTATTGTTAGAAGACTTATTATTCACTCCTGTTTTCAAAGAAAAAACAGTGCACACGTTCATATTTAAGAACTCTTTTGTTATTAGGTTTTACTGCTACACAAATTCACAATGAGTTGATCGCTGTTCTTGAACGAGGTTATGTTTCGTATAATACAGTTGCTCGATGAATTCAACAATTTTCAGATGAGGAAGATACCTTGGAAGATAATTCTCGAAGTGATCGTCCAAAAACCGCCGTCATTCAACGAAATGTTGATACTTTTCAAAATACTGTGAATAATGATCCACATATTAGTACTGATTATATACGTAGCTGTCATCTGAGATACATCCCATGGTAGCGTAGATGCCATTCTCAAACAACACCTTAGCTTAAGAAAGATACTGCAAGATAGAAACTCATGCATTTACTGACAAAAAAACAACAACGATTTTTTTTATCGTCATTGAACACTTACATAAGTTGTTGCCGACTATCTCTAACAAAAAAAAATCAATATGATGTTTTATTACTATGTTCATTTAATCCTGTAAATAGATGAGTAAAATATTTTTTCTATGAATAACTATTAGCAAGTGGCAAAAATTTTTGACTGCCTTATGTAAAAGTATGTTTGCACTGTGGAACACTCTAGATTTTGGAAACTTTCAGAGTCCAAACATCCTTGTTTTCGTTTTCGCATTTATCCCGATGGGAGATTTCTTTTTTTCTAGCCAATTCACATATCAATCGATAACTATTGACGAGCTCTCTCCGACGCTACTATGCATATCGTGTAATAATGTCTTTGCTAGAAGCTACATGGCGCCTAGAATTGCTGTTGTTACTAATTATAGGCGAAGACACGTGTATTTTATTGCCCTCACTCGCATTATTCGTGTTGGGTAAGTCACCAAAGATTTTTATTTTCGTTTCCTAAATTATTTGCTAAGATTTTCTTCTTCATCATTTTGTGAAAAAATATAAAATAGCAGGAAGTGCGGATTGCAAGATACCACAATAAATTGAATAGAGGAAAACTGACCGTAAGTACGGATAAACTATGAGGAAATGATGTACATATTACCGCAAATAGCATCGTTACGATCTTCGTTTTAACCGACATGGGTATTAAACTATAATCTAACTCACCAATTGTCGTCTTAATGTTGGCATAAACCTGACAAGTTTAAGTACACGTAATAATCTGAATGTACGTAAAACAGATAATCCACTATGTTTTGTTCCATATAACTTAATAAGACTAATGAAAACAATTCCACCATCAAATATATTAAATAGATTGTTAATATATTTTAAACAACCTTCAGCAATTATTTTAAATAACATTTCAATTGTAAATAATACTATAAAAACATAATTGCTATATTCTAATATATTTGTTAATGATTGTGGTTGTCCATGATATTCAATAGACATTGAAAGTGTATTTATAATAATATCTGAGAAAATAATGCGATCAAAATATTTACTAGCAACAACACATGAAATTAACTTTCGTATTATTGTAAAACATGAACAACAACAGCAACAATAAATTTCACATTTTTGACGAAATTTTGATTTTTCTTCTTCTTCTTCTCGATTATGGTCGGATATATTAAGAATTTCATCTTGATAATAACAATTACATATATCATTTCTTTCTATTTGTTGTTCTTGTCGTTCAAATTCAAGATTTTCATTGTTTCATCAACTTTTATCAATAAGTAAATTATTATTTGCTGACGTTAGAGCATTTATGTCTGGACCAATGTCATAATTACTAGTGCCACAGTCAATCGATTCTAATAATGGTGTTGATATTAATAATGATTGAGATTGATGATATCGACAACCTGGTTGATGTTTTTGATTAATTAGTGGAGTTGACGAGACTAGATTGACATTAGATGAAGGTAATGCATTTCGTGCTAGTACCTTTTTTCTTGTTTGTTGCTTTTCGGTCATGTTTTTGATTAAACTTTGAAAGGACAATTATTAATTTTATTTCTTTTATACATATAGATACTAATCAAAGCTAAATGATTTTTGAAATTGTACAACATTTTTTCGATAGCATTACTTTTCGACAATCGATACTAGAGGCCGAAAGCGAACCAAACTGTATCCAAACAGAACAGAACTGAAAACCCACTTTTTCGGTTCATTTCGATCTTTCATCGATAATGTTGAAATGGCTTTCTAATCGATATGATTACGGATCCAATAGTCAATCAACGGCAGTAGAAGAGAAAGGCGTCCTCTAATTAATGTTAAGAAACAGTAGACTTCTGAGATGCGAACGAATGAAATTTGAAGTTATCTTTCAGGTGAAAATTTCTTCTGGTCTTTTTATTCTGCATCTATATGATAGAAATATTCGGTACTCGTTTTATGGAAGTTTAACAAATACTTAAATTCATATTGCAAAATTATTCTTCAAAAAATCCGATTGATTGATCTTTAATTGACTGACTAGGACTTATTCTTTGGAAACTAGCATTTCAATCTTCTCCTGTTATTCTGAATCGTTTANTTCTAGACAAACACGACATCGTTGTATATTTGTTTTGCATTGATCACGTACGTGTCCGATACGCCAGCATTTTGTACAATAAGTCATACGGTTTCCAGATAAAAATGGTGTGATTGATAGCCAGTGATTACAAATGGAGATACGACCCAATTCGAGCGCTGAATTATATTCTGTTAAATCTGTTACCGTGAACCGATAGTCATTAGTTCTTCGTACATATGCATAATGGATTTGTTTAATATTATCTGCTGATGTAATAGTACGATTGATTTCTTCTTTCACAATTTCTATTTCTAAATCACGTGGTACGTATCGAACAACTAAGGCAAAACAGTCAGGAACATAATTTGGTTTAATAATTTTCACTGGTATATTTTTGACTGTCGTTGGCCATTTTTCTGTCGTTACTAACGTCATGTAATCTTTTTTATTGTTCACTCCCAGTTTCAATCGTTTACCGGACCAACCGACTAGTGAGAACTGCTGAACAGTAACATTGAGGTCTTTGAAATGCTTTTCAACGATATTTCTAGCTTCAAATGCTGATGGAAGCTGATGTGAAGTTATTGATTGTTCAAATTCAATGAAAAAGCAGGGTAAATTGGAAGATACAGCTCGTTTTAATTGAACGAAGGGAAGTGGTTTTCGTATCTGTTGATCTGTCGTTGTCATAACCTCTGTTGGTATGGGGTTATATTGACTTGTTTTTTGTTGTTTGGGTATCGTACTGATAGATCCATTACTATCGTTTAGAGGTCTACCCCGTTTGGGAGTTGATGACTTATACTGGTTATCTACTTCAAGGTTAAGAAGCGATGGAATTTGATGTTGATTTTGATTCCTAAGGTTATTATATACTGGTAGACAGGATTGTTGTATACTACGAGCACGTGTATATTCCAGAAATTGGAAGAAATCATTTAGCATGTTAGGATTTTGTGCTAATGAGCGGAGAAGATCATTTTTCTGCTGAATGCTATATTGATCGTAGTCTGTCCTAGATTGTACATAGTGTTGTTGTTGTAGTTCATTGGACGAGTAATGCTCGTTCATCTCTACTTCGTTTGAGTTTAGTTGAGCTGTAGGAACAAAATTAATGTTCGTTACATTTTTTTCGGCTAATTGAGAGTTGATTGAAGACATTAGGTTGCTTCTCCGATAACACAGGAGAGCACGCAAACGTGAAGAAAGAAATAGGATAGAGAGCGAGCAAAAATGCGACCGTTCTCTACGAAGACACAAGAATATTAAGATCATCTATTTCCTCATCAGCCACAACGTGCTCAATACCACAAAATACGACCGAATTCCCAGTTGGTCCTGCACATGTCTTCTAACTGTTTTCGACATCGAACATGATATCTTATTTTGATTCGAAATTTCTCGAAAATTTTGGATCTTTTAAACGGCTATCCCTGTGCCACTTGATAAGATTTCAGCAACATCGAAAATACCGGATATTTGTGGTAGCTTTACACACCCACACCCACACCCAGCAAGGACGAAACCGGTCGTAAGTCTCTCGCTTATGTATCTAATTTCCAAAAAATCTTGAGTTTCTATACACATCCACACCCCACACCCACCCACACCCCCACCAACACACCCACACCCATCCACACCCACACCAACANGTCGACTTATTGACAAAACAATTGCATGTTCAGACTTTTTGGATGGGACACATACTATGATGCTTCAATAATGAGGTCACCGAACATCCCAGACGTAGAAACTTCCGATCAAAAAGTAGCTTTTGACCCAGGGGCTGCACGAAAAGACAAAAGTAGAAGGACGATGGTCCAAAAGTCTGATAAAATATTCTGCCACTTTCGAAAAATCAAAAAATTTTCTTCGATTTTTCGAAAACGGGAGGACTTGCCCCACTTCCTCGGTTGCGTCGACCCCGTCTTGACCTTCCTCTGGACCTAAGAGTATGCCATGGAAAGTTTGGTGACGCTAGCTCTTACAGGGACCAAATGCCAAGGGGGAAACAGCGGACTTCAAGACTTCAAGACTTCAAAAGACTTCAAGAGACTTCAACGAACTTCAGCCGCAGTGACTTCATATTTTCACAAGACTTCAAAAGACTTTATAGGACTTCAAATGACTTCACAGGACTTCACAAGACTTCAGAAGACTTCTGAAGACTTCAAAAGACTTCATTGGATTCCAAAAGACTTCATGAGACTTCACAAAACTTCATCGGACTTCACAGGACTTCACAAGACTTCGTAAGATTTCAAAAGACTTCACAAGACTTCAAGAGGCAGATTCCATGCGTATCAAAAAAAACTTATAGAAATTAAATGAAACCTCTATAACATGCAAAAAGCTTATCATTAAGTAAGGGTGTCATTTACCATGTACTTTATAATAAATACAAATTACTTATCATTTAATTTACGCGTAAATTAAATGATAAGTAAATATAAATTGACATCCCTATCATATAGAGATTACAAAAAGGTTTTTTGTTTCGGAGAATTGTTTCTCGCAACATATCTATATCTAAAATATTTTACGATGATACGAGTAATGTTGAATATATGATTGTACGTATCGCAGACATTTTAAGTGCTTGAGATTACACTCATACCCTATACACAAGCAAACGGCTTGTTGGTTATTGACCGACAAAGTTAGCCGTTTATCGGCTGATAGATTATCACGAGTGATAGAAACAAACAAAAAAGATTGAAAATCTTCATCAGATTGATTTGGATAGATGGAAAATTTCTTATAAAAATAAACCACTTCATTCAAAAAGCATTCACTTATTAATTATCATGTTTTCTAAGATCAAACAAGCTTGAATTTTCCCCAGTGCATTAAAAAAAACAATAAAAAGTTCAC